ATTTAATTGTGATGAACATAATATTTCTGTTCACCTTCAACTTAGGCTTGTGTAAATTTAAGTGGAAAATAAGTCAAAATGGAAATGAGCATCCTATACGTATATAAAGCAGGTGGCTCATAAAGAATGAGCCATTTTTCTTCTGTCATTTTGAAAATCTTAGAAATTATAGCAATATTATTAAAAAACAAAGAGTTTTCTAGTCTACACGATTATAACCGTGTTCACCAAAAAACATTCTCTGTTCATATGCAAAAGAAAAACAAAACCAGAAGTGATACAAAAATCACTAGTACATCCTGTAACATTTTTCAAGCTTTTTTCTGTTGGTCAAACTCGTTTAATTAAAATATTTTTCTAGTCGGATACGTCTGCGAACACAAGTTGCGCTTTATAAATAGATAAAATGAATTGAGAAGGTTGTTTATTTAGAAGTTTATCAATATGAAAACGAATTTAGCAGAAAATAAGATTTTGCTTGACATCCATTTTTTAACGTATTCTGGACTGATATATATTCATATATATTGATTCTTTTTATTTCATGTTCAATATAGGCTTCGATGCAGTTCTTCGAACGAAGGTTTCTATCTCATATTATATTCAACGTGCACTATATCTTTTCCTATCGTCAGTCGATGATGTGATTTCTCTTTCCTTCTTTATCAGAGCTATTATTTAACTATTTCAAGCAAATTTTTTCTATGAATTTAAATTTTTCAAACTGGAAATTCACTTTGAGCAGCACAGACAGTCTTGTAGAACATTTTCATTCAAAGATAAAGCTTCGGTGTTGACATAACGATCAATAGAAATATTCAAATATAACTATTAGAATCTGTTCTGTTGTATTAAAGGGGCAGTGCCGATTTTCATACTTTTTTCTGTTTAGTCTATTTACAGATGAAGGCAATACTTTGTCTACGAACTTAATATTGTTGTAAAGCAGAAAATTCTTTATTGTTTTTTCTTTAAAAATCATGTTTCTAGAAGTTTTTTAAGATACTCGAGAATACAGAAGAAAAATAGTTCATTCATTATGTGCCATCCATTATATGTCTGTCTACATATTTTCTAATTGAATGCTCATTCGTGGTATTTTCAACTCTATATTGTCGTCCGTTTGCCAGTGTTCGAAAATAAAAAAGTATTTTCAAGAAATATAATAGCACAACAGATATGAAAAAAAATTAGAGAACAAATCTCTACTTGTCATTAGACGCGACTGCTGAGCAAAAAGAGTCTAGGGCGATTGCCGACTTCATTGATGTTTCGCGACCACTACCGATCTTTGCACCACACTCACCTAGTTTTTAGGCACGATACACATCTCTGATTGCTAATACTAAGCTAACTATTTTGAAAACTCAATTATTTGAAAATGTTGAAAATTTACATCGATTACGAAAAAAATACAAACAAACGAATGACTGAAATAACTATTATTTGAACACCATCTTCATTTTTGGCTTAAGATATCCTATAGATATTTTTAGATAAATTTTGAAAAATTAATTGATTCTAATAATAGAATGGATTATAACCGTCTCGGTATAGTCCTATAGAAATAAATCAGGAAAGTAAAACCACTGCAAGGCCAGTACATGTCATTATTGTTAGAGATCCTATCTGTCCTCGCTCTCGATCCCATATTCCTCCTCCTACGAGATCTTTGACTGGATTAGCAATCAAATAACTGTGATGCCTGAATTCAATATAAGCACCGAGAGCATCGCCTACGGTCAAATCTTGAACACGATTCACCAGATCATCGCTAATAGTTGACAGTAGAGAATAGTCTTTCTGACTGGTTCTGAGTTTATCGGGTTTCTTAATGGATGTTTGATCAATATCATGAAACTAACACTTGAGTCGCAACTTCTCTAATGTAGGAAAAACATTTTTATTTCAAATATCTGACAAAACTAATTGAATCAAGTCTTTCAATTTAAGGTATCAAAGTCAAGGACACTTTTTTTATATGCAAATAAAAGATCATCAACGCTTCCCTTTTGTATCTTCCTGTCCGGAAAATGTTGTCGATGCCATTTCTTTCTCCACAAATAAAACACTAAATAGATCTTCTGAAACAAACTCTATTCAAAATCAAAATATGAGTAAATCATTGGAGCGTATGAAAACAGGAGAAATAAATTTGCACACGAACATATATCTTATCTTCTTGGAACTTTAGGAACAAGTTATAAGCTATGGAACCAACAAGAACAACAATATTAATCTGACCCGAATAGCATGTATTCATCGCTTTTATTGACACCTTAAATTTATGCAAATTGCTGGGACTTATACAGATTTACTCAAAGGCACCGGTCAATATCAGAGTATGCGAAAACAGAGACGAACACTCACACACAAACCCACTCTCTACATCCTTATACCAAATTCACTTAACCTCCTGAACTCTATAGATATATGGGTATCAAGTTAGACATCTGCCTCTTTATAGTAGAGTCACTTCGAATCATTAAATTAACGGTATATGGTAACCTGAAGTGCATTACGTGAATATACTAATGGCTATGTTTAGAATCTCGATATCGGAGTCATGAATACTATGATATTCCTCTTGCCAGTAAAAACAGTTAGTAATGACTATTCACAGTCAGCAACGCAAATAATGCAGATAAGAAGGCGATACATTATCTATGTACTGAAGAGAATACATTCTTTCTCATCAACAAACCGAAATAACTATCGTGGATTCGTCTCAAAAATATTGTAATTCTTATCAAGAAAGTTTACTTTCTCCACATTATTCCTTCTCAGATCTCATTCACTCTTCTGTACGTTACATATCGAGTAAGTGTTTCTTGTTCAATTATTGTCATGTATGACTTACTACTGTCAGTACAGAAAATCAAATGAAGAAAATTGTAAACTCACCGCTTTCGATTTTGTTGATTATATTGTTTACACGTAAAAATGTTTTTTTTTTAATGGTCGCCTACCTCTTGCCTGCTGCTATTGCTAACAAATACTATTTTACTTTGATTTTTTTTCTCTTCCTCCCAGTTTCTTTTTTACGAATCTACACATTATCTATAAGAACATCTCACAATAAGACAATATTATTCAGTCCAAAAATAAGTTAAACACCAAACTGCATTGAAGTAGCAAACGATAAGCTCAGATAAGTTAGAGGTTTATTCTATAGGCGAATATAAAAATTAATTCGAAACATTTGGTGAGTAGTTTTGTTCTTGCACCAAGAAAAATGGCAGATAAGCGACTTTTACCTGTGAAATTACCGGGGAGTCCCAATAGATTGTGAAATTTCCAGGGAATACTTATCGAGAGTCCCCGAGGAGTTATCGAGACTGCCAGATGATTTTGCAGGTGACAGTTGATTAGGGTATGTTGATTTCTAAATGTGCAGCGTGTTGCCATGCATATGATTTAATGAGAGTGCGGAGTGTGGATGTGTGGATTAAGACATGATTAGCATCTACACTCACACTCAAAATGGGCCTAGTTATGATTTTAACCAGCTACATATTCCTTTCTACGTTTTTATTGATCGAGATTATTCTGTCTATGTTTCCAACTGAAACAATCACCGTATGACGAACTGGCTCACAGAGGCACAGGTGGGTATTGTTGTGGCTAGTGGAAGAGGTCAAGGAAATGTTCGAATACAATTGTTTCACCTGAATACTATGTTCGTTCATCAGTTGGATTCAGTTTATATCGTAGATCGTAAAAATAATAGAATCATACGATGGCGCAATGGAGACGCATACGGAGATGTGATTTGTGTCGAACGTCATGAAGGAGGAAGTCAGTTGAACTGACTCAACGGATTAACATTCGATCGAAGTTACAATTTTTAAGTTACTGAAATGATGGATCATCAAGTTGAACAATTCTCAATCGAAAAGACAAGTTAAATTTTTGTTTTTCTATTGAAATGTCTTGACTTATTAGCTTTATTTTCCATTGTTCTTTTTCCATGTGCTCTGATACTACTTTCGACAAGAACAAATTTAATACTGTTTTGATTTGACTTTTTCTGAAGATTAACAACATCATTATAGTCATGATTCACCCTTGTTGTCTACTATTCACTTGTTTATGAAGGTGTGTTAATAAACATACCACCAAGTTGAAGTTCATCATAGTTAAGAAGGCTACAGATAATTCTCTTCTCTTGAACTCATCATTTATTCATTCACTGGACACTAGGAATGCTCTATTGGATCGACGACGTAACTCGCTTGTGTAAAAATGAATTGAATAAACATGAGCAGTTTTATATTATTGTTCATAAACATCAATACCTGAAAGAGTTGAAATCGACACGAACTTCACAGGATGTGGGTGAGTGTGAATTAACAGAAGGCTTATATTCGCACTAACACATACCCATACTCATGTCATTGAAGAAATTAGAAAATATGAACGTTGCTGCTAAACTGTTGCTAGAAATGTATTCGCATATTTTTATATCGTAGGCTTTGATGGTGACTCATATGTGAGAGTAGAAATAGACTTTTGCTCTGTTGTTTAGATTATGTGAGTATATTAGAAAGTTAAATCATAAATAATTTAGTTCTATGTAAAACGAATCATTTTTTAAATATTTCCTTTTACTTCGGACAAAGTTAATTTACCAATAGATGAAGTATCGTAAATTCACGCAAATTTACTATCCGACAATAAGTTTTAGAACATACCGTACACGGAATTTTTCATTTAAAAACCTCAACAAACAATACAATTTTTTCTTGAAATTGTTAGTTCCCTAAGATATTTCTTCACACTGTTTTTATGAGCAAAAACTTCAAAACATTTTATCATTGACAAAAAAATCAGTCTGTTTGGTATACATCAGATAGATTTCTGGCCCACTCATGTATATTAATAAAATAAATCTGATGATCTTCACTGATGAATAGCAATTATATAGCATCAAAAATTTGGGAATTAATTTATTGAACAAAGAAAAATAAGATTTATCACAAAGAAAAAGTTTTTATTGTTCATTTCGAAGAGTAAATATGGAAAATAAAATAATCAGGATTCATTTTCAAAAAGTATGCAAATCCATAGAGTAATAATCCAAAACCTAGCAAACTACCAGCGGTTGTCACTGTATTGTTCCATGGTGCAATTTCAACATATTTTTCTAATAACCATATAACAAACATTGTTCCACCAATAGCTTGAATAAATGGTAATTCAAGCATTGGACCGAAAAACATTGTTGCCAATCCACTGAAAAATGTAATAAATTGTAATAAACAAAATCCAAGTTTGTTGTTATATGGTTTAGTATACAATCGTGAACTAAGAATAAGTAATCCAATAAAATAAACAAATGTTCCTAAGAATAATAATGGTCGAGTAAATGGAATTGTTAATATATTTGAATGTTTTTGAATATGTAAAATACTTCCAATAAGAATTAAAATAAATGAAGCTACTGTACCACTTGGAATAACTTTTTCATCATGAAATCCAATCATAATAACTAATTCTCCAACAAATATTACAAAGCCTAATGATGATTCTAAAGCCATAATAGCTAAATAACCTGCTTCTCGATGTTGTTGATAAATAGCAACAATAGTCCAAACAAAAAAACATGTCCAAGATGCTACTAAACCAGCATATTTGCTTTCTGAAAAATGTAATTTAATTGTAAATGATAGCGTTGCTAAAAATGTAAGACAACCAAAGAAAATTAACCATGAATTATGAATTAACATCATTAAACAGATTGATATTATAAAAAAAAATATTTCCCAAAGAATAGGTGGTATATTAACTAGTATTGGTAATATAAAAATGCCTAATAATACTGTTAACGATATGATAACAGTAATACCAGCTAAAATAGCTATTATATTTGAAAAAGATATAATTAATTGTCGTTGGTTCCATGTTATAAATTCTTCTTCTGTTAATAATTCTTTACTTCCAACAAGTTTTGATGCATGTTGAATATATAATTGTTTTTCTTCATCAGCAATATTCTTATTTAAAATACCACGTTTTTCTAAATTCTTAATAGCATCATAATATTGTTTAAGTTCAATAATTGATTGTGGTAAAAGATTCGAACTATTGTCCGATACAACAATTATTGATAAGCATAGAATACTGATTATAATTATTATCCAATTGAAATTTGTCATTATTATAAAATTCTCAGTATGAATTTTTTACTACTACAAATGCTTTTTTGCTACTTAATTATATATAAAAAGTACACAGGTGTTCTGCGAAAGAAAAAACAACTGAACTGACGCCCGAGAAATTTGCTTTATTTTTGTCACGTTGCCAGTCAAAACAGGAGAAAAAAGGTATTGCACCATAGGCGAGTAAATAGATGATTCATCGAGTTCTTTTACTGAATTAGTTCTTAGAGACCTTGAAAAAATGCATTAACGTGATATTTGGACATGATTCATAACAAAAGATTATATTTTAAATGATAAAGCGAACGTTTTCATCAATTCAATTCCACGATGCTGATTGAATATCAAATCCATTATGGCTGTTTGATCAAAGTGTCTGTTCTAGTCAATAAAATTGATATACATGCACATTTATTTTATTTTCATCATCCGAAATTTTATTTATTTCATGTTTTTGATATTAAAGTCACAACATTTTTTTTGAATTTTTATCGCCATAGTTTGTGTATTCTTAGCCTAGTGTTTGATAAATCTTTTTACATGTGTTTCTAATTCTAAAAGTAATGTTTTCGATTGAGAACAATATATTAAACAACAACAAAACGAACAAATAGTAAATAATAAGCAAATTGCAGACAGTAGAGTATCAGCTTATTTAATGGACACTTGCTTAATTATGTAATTTCAAGAACATAAGTTACTTTCGGCTACGATGTAGTTTACTCCTTTGTATATTATTACCTGTATGGCGTTTCTGAACATGATCATCGAACTTATATGTTTATTGCCTAAATTTGTTTCTTTGTTAATTTCATATTTGTCATTATGACAGTCTTTTTACTTATTTGCTGAGGATGCTGATATATTTTAATAAGAATTGAAAAGATAATCAAATCTGATGAGAAATGTGCGTTTCCACTTATCTCTGTCCTTGTATAGAATATCTCGGAATAAATGTCGTTGATAATGTCAAATTAGAGTTTCTCATAAGAATTATTTTGCTGAAAAATACATATCAAACTCTTTATCTCTGTTCATTTTGTTTTGATGTCATAAGAATCAGTCACGATAATGTATATACATCATACATAATGATCAACTTTCAAAAATTGCTTCACATCTATTTAATGAAAACTGAGAAAAATAAGTTTTATTTGTAATGGAAACATGAATAATATATCATTTTCGTTATTAAAAACATATCACTTATTGTTCGTACGAAAAGTGGGCATGTATGAAGAGAAGAATCAGACCTATATACATCGCCAAACCAATATCCACACCCTCATTCATCTATTTTCAACAAAGCATGAAACAACCACAAATGTTAGGATCCTAAATTTAACAAAAAATAGAAAGCGAAAACAGTATTTTCCGATAGAAAGTTGTCACTTGAAATATTTTTTTCTCACAGAATTTAAGGTTTCGGAAAGTAGCAAATTAATATATTTTACTATCAGAAAATAGTATCAAACTCTATTACAAGAATTATTTTTTAACATGAAAAATAGTGAACCTACGGGTTCCGGAGAACTTTTCATACAATTCGATATTGAAATTATTGCAATCAGAATTTTATTGGTTTTCCAAGAGAATTTCTATATGTGTTTGGTTTTGAAAAATATTGTAATCTATTAAACTATTTCACGAATCTGAATCGAAATAATAAAATGAACAATTATTTTGAGATACAATATTTATCTTGAAATATTTCGAATGTAGTTGGACATAGTTTTTGCGGTATTGTTATGGCTATCATACATCGAACAGTTATTCTTTGATTTCATATACAAGATTCATTTTCTTTACAATCATAGTATTTTTCCTTGACAAGTTTGATAAACGAATATCTTCACTAGTCGAGTTCAACATACTCTTTTCACGTTGACGGTTCACAATATCAATGAGGTCTTCTGTTCTGACGTGTAAACTATATAGACAATTAACTTGTCATTATATTGTATTTTCAGTTGTATGCAAACACTTGTCAGAAATTATTAGGTAATTATATAGCATGACTAACGCCGTCAGATTTTTTTTCAAATATCTCTTGTTCTCTTCATGTCATGGTAACTGAAAGTGACATTTTTCTAAAAATACTTCTTTGCTTTTGCTGTTTGATTGACAACTCGAACTGACTAAAATCAAATCATATCTTTTACTATGCAGTACTCATAAAATGATAATTTCTCTCATCAATGAAATTGTCCTTTGGTATCACTTTATGAAAAAAGCTTCTCTTCTTAGGTATTATTAGTTCCTACTGTGTTCTTGGCTGAATTTCATCATGAAAATACAATCTACTTGTTAGGGTATTTCCTTTTGTCGATACTTCACAGCGGTATAACTTGGACATATAAAAAACGCATGAATGCTCGATTATGAATGTTGCATAATTATATACAACATCATTTCATACATGACAAGTTACTACGTAATTATTCTATCTTGTCTCTATTAAAGAATGTAGATAGAATTCATTTAACAATTTATTTGAGTAAAAAAGAGCATACAGTATACAGTAAATACTATTTCAGAATGGAGAACAATGGAACTGACGACAGAGTATCATCATTATCCAGCGAAGAGATTGCATTATCTCGTTCTGTTCGATTCTGGCTTTTCCTTGGATTCGAAATACCATCGATGGCTTGCTCTCTATTTATTCTCTATCATTTCATTATGGATCCAATTTTACGTCATTCATTACATCATCATACTATCATGGCTATGAATATTTGTGCATTCGTGATCGAAATCATAGACATTCCATTTCAACTTAACTTTCTTCTAGCGGGCAGTGTATGGCCGCAAATATCAGCTTATTGTCTCGTATGGATGTTCGTAGGTTTCGGTTTCTATTATACATGTTGTATGTTAGCTGCGTGGGCTTCGATTGAACGACACATATTTGTGTTTCATGATCAATGGTTAGCTAGTCGAAAGGGACGCTTACTCGCTCATTACCTCCCATTAGTCTTCATAATTGTCTACATGAGTAGTTTTTATATTGTGGGTATTTTCTTTCCACCCTGTGACAATACGTTTGACTATACATCACCAATGTGTGGTGGAGTACCCTGCTATAGCATGCATCCAATAATAGGTGTATATGATGCAGTTGTACATGGTTGTCTGACTACTCTGATCATTACTGTTTTTAGTATTGGTTTACTAATTCGTCTCGTATTACAAAAGCGTCGTCGTCGTCAAGTAATGCAATGGAGTAAGCATCGCAAATTGACTGTACAATTGTTGTCAATAACATCAATTTTCATTATTGTCAACTTACCAATTGCAGTAATGAGTGTTATTTATCTGTTATATTTACCGGTCGATATAGATGTTAATGTCATGCTCTATTGTGATTTTGTAGGTTACCGGGTGATTCTTTTTCTACCTTTCGTCTGTTTACACTCGTTACCAGATATGAAAAAGAGAATAAAGAATACTTTTTATATTTCACGTCGACACCAAGCAATGGTTGGAGTTGCTTCAGTGTTACGCACTACTAATACTGCCTTACGACGACAAGATCTGTAAGAAAAGAAACGAACTATTGATTTCATCGTATGTTTAGTAGTTCGTTGGTTTGACTTGGTTCAAGTGTCTATCCCTTGATCTCAATATTATGGTTTCAACAAATAAAAAAAACTACATTACCTTTTCGTTAAAAGCTTTGCTTACATTTCAGTATTTATATGCTTTTTTGTTTCTGTTACATTTACTCGTTAATAAAACTTTATAATTCATTGGCCGTTATAGACTTGAGCGCATTCAATAAAATGTTGATTATCTTTTTTTTCTTCCTGTAATGATGAAAGTGGTTACTCACTAGTCGAAGTGAGAAAACTTATCCATCGATTTTTCGATGGAATAAATCTCAAAATGACAATGTGAGTTATGGATATCCCATTGATAAATTTTATTGAATTTTTAACTTTTTTCTATCGAAAATCAAACATTTTACTAATGAGTAATGTTGCTATAATAAACATAACATGAAGTTTACTCTACAATTAAACTTGCGCGATTGTATTTTATATCTGAATCACACAAAAATTGTACGGAAGACTTTTACTAAAAACTTAGGCATTGTAGACAATGGAACCCGATAGCAGTCATGGTGTGGAAATTCATATAGATGAATAGGATGAAATAAATTCATGTTGATTTTATCGAAATTATCTTACATATTAAAACTATTAATTATTATATCGATTATAAATAAAATGTTTAACATTATATTTTATTAAATAAAACAATCTCTGTAGAATTTATTTCGAGATTAAAAAAGTGAACTACTTTTTATATTAGCAATATCATGTTTAATAAATAGAAGATATTTTTTAAATAGAGAAATTTGTTATCAAAACATTTGCTACAGATTATAAGTACATCTATAATCTTGTCTATACAGATTTTTATTATTATTTTTCAAACAAAGAAAGGACTGTATTTATATACCATGAATCGTAAATAACTAGAATTCATATATGATATGTACCTTGTTCATTTCCATCAATGGACATATTAAAATCACTTCTTGCTTTTTCTATGGTATTTATAGATATTGTATCATCTTGTGTAGTAACATTTGCTATTTTTGTATTTAATTGTACATAATTAAGATTAATACCAATTACAACACATGTTAATTTAGCTTGTTTGTTGAAATATATCAAAAATACATGTTTCATTAATCTTCAGAATAGAATTGATTCTGTTGGTAATCAGATTCTAAACTAAACTGTCAATAAAATGATATTTACATTTTCTAATTTATATAAAGTTTAATCAGATTTAAATTGAAAGCTTTTATTTAGGATCACATGTCGCTGTCAATATAGGTCGTTTCTTGTTATAGTTTATTCAACATTTCAAAATTATTACTTTATCTTTAGTCATATTTGGCATAACTGATTTAATCTGTTCATAATGGAAATAGAATCGAAAGCAGTGACAGGAAGTTCGAATTATCTTTATAAACATGTCACCATAGCTATTTATTTTACTCCATTATTTATTTCTAGTCAATAACAATTGTTCGATCGCAAAGCTTTAGATTAGTCTAGAAATATATGTCGAATTATTGATTCATAATCTGTAGTCATTTTTTTCTATGAGTATATCAAGAGAGATCGAATAGTGAAAATGAATAAAATTTTGTGTACATAGGGAATGCATTATAGCCTGTCCATGAAAGACGTCCAGATGCAAAAATAGAAAATAAACTTCCTAGAAAGAAAAAGACAAAACATACGTTTCATAAACAGCAAACAAAAATATAACCTCTAGCAATTTTTTTTTCTTCTCTAAATACATTCAATTTTAATGCGGAGAAATGTAACAGAATTTTTAATTATTTTAACACTGTATTCAAAATGAACTTCTAGTTAACTTGGCAAATTTGCAAATATTCTTTATGCATTTTATTGAGACATATTACGCTTTACGTCAATACATAGACCGGCTCAAGTCTGTAAAACCTTTGATCTAGTTCAGTTACTTCAACACATACTTCATCAAAACAAACACCATAATTTTGGCTGTATTTGTCAAAAGCACATCATGCTTTAGCAAACTTTTTGATACAAAAAAAAAAACAACTGTTCATATATTCGATCTGTATCCTAATAATCTTACATCACGATAGATCTCATCAATAATGCACACTAACACGAATTTTCTTTTCTTGTCATATAAATCTTGAGTCTGATGATAATCTGTCCTATAAACTATGTCATCATGAACTCGTGATTAGTGTATAAATATTAGAGTGTGTTTGTTCGATGCAACTTGATAAACGCCCTTGAGATGTTTTTTTACTTCACACGTATTCAGCCAAGAGAGTAGTGAGTAATGATTGAGGCGCTTGGTTCCGGGTGAGCGAGCGTTCAGCTTGTCCTTGCACCTCAAAAGATATTTGCGTTCTCTTATTTTTTTTTTGCTTTGAGAGCGAAGAGAGAGGGAGTAGATGAGAGTAAGAAAATGGCGTACACTACACTTCCAATCGCATTTAGTATTATCTTTAACCAACGTAAAGAAGTAAGTCTTTATTCTGCTCTCTCTCTCTCCTCTGACTGCTCTTGAAGGTAATATGGGATAACTTTTTGAATAAATATAGTCACCAATCTATGAGTGTATGTTAGTGAATGAGAAACGAAGGAATGATTTACAAGTAATTGTTTATCTCTAAATCTCGGTCTCCATAAGAGACACTTAAAAATGTGTTATTTGTGTCTATATGATAGTTCTACCAATATGTTAGAAAGCCAACATTCGATAAGCTACTGAGAATGTATGACTATGAAGATGTTAGAGAAAATACAGGTTGTTGCTTTCATTTGAGCAGACATGATCTGATAAACATTCGACTAATGGTGCACTGTATTGACTGTCAGTAGTTGTTTTTTTTTTCAACTGACAAAAAAAAAACAGAACACAGTCAGTACTTAACTGAAGCAATTCTGAGTCGGTGTGTGTTAAGAATAATGCTAGTGTTGTCAGTATTAGTGTGAAAAATAATTTTTTGTTGTTGACACTATCGCGAGAGTATATGTAAATATATAACAACTTGCATACGATATATAGAATGAATAGTTAGAGTGCTTTCGACATAGTATGACATCTTTAAAAAGAAAAAGAATGCATAGAGGATGTATATATAAATGACTGTGCTAATGGAAGGAATCAGATTCTTGACATAACACAGTGGGGGCATTAAATTCGAAAAAAAAAAATTAGAGTTTATCGGGAATACTTTTTTTTAGTGTCGACAAGTTACAGAGCACATAAATAAAGTTTTCTTTCTTTTATTTATACTAGGAGTGGTTCTTTAGCATCACTTTAAACTATAAAGATAAGTAAATGAAGAACAATTCTCATTTAAAAAAAAAACAAAATAAATGATACATTTATCTTTATCTTTTATTGCACAGGGAGAGTAAAGATATAGGGTCACGTCTAACTGATACCTTCGATAAGCATGTTGCGGTTTAGGCATGGATAGGCTTCAAAAATGACATCAGCATGTTACTCAAGAATTTTGAGAACATTTTTGACTGAAAAAGAAAATTGTTTAATTATGGTTTTCTTAACTTTTCAGTTACTAAACAAAGGTTAACTGGATAAACTACAAAATTCGATTTCTTTTCCAGTTTAATATTTTCAGTGTGGAAGACATTGAAGTCACATCTTCACTAGTACTTCAACAAAATGTGACTCGAAAACATGAAACAAACGTATATTTTTTATGTATCTTTTTCATTTTAATTAAATAATTCATTTTGATGAATAAAATATTTCTTGAAAGTCTCTTGTGATCATCTAGACGACTTGATCCACAGCGTCTGCAATCACTATTTGATTCAGCGTTGAAACGGCCGTTTGTGGTCATTTTTTTATCGATTGAGTATCGAATAAAATACATATATGAAAGAGTTCTACTCAGAATTGGAATATTATATCTTCTAATGTTCTAATCAATAAACGAAAAATTGCCACTTTGCTCGCAAGTTTCTTTTCCTCTTCAATAAAGAAAGTAGAATAACTTCATGAAGATTCATACATTACCTTTCACACCTATTGTTAACGTTCTAAAGTAAGTTAATTTGAGAGCTGCTGCGAAGAGATTAATGGACAGAATAATGTCGCGTTAGAGTTTACTTTCTATTTTACTCGAAAATTTGCGCCAATTTCTTGGCTTGTTTCAAAATAAGTTTACTGGCGCTGGGACACCCTTTACTCGTCTGTTTTTCGCCATTTTTTTTATACTGTTCCCAAGTGATCTGATGTTTGTGTTATAGATCACGGATATCTAAAAAATGAGGAGCAAATATATTGATCTTTGCGAAATTCTACACTTTTCAAATGTAAAAAGTACCAAATAAAATCTGACAATAGATAAAAATACGACGTTATTTATAAATTTCCGATTCTATAACAAAGCATATTCTAGTTTCATTTCCTAGACAGCTTTCTACAACAAAATCAGAGAGAAATCTTAGCTAAGCATTAAGCGTTACAATGTGTAGAAAACAGATAAACTCATTAGTTCGAAGACCGAAATTCTATCTTCCTTCTAGCCAGTGGTCAATAAAGTTAATACACTTTCATGCTTGAGTAACTCAGCTCATTTGTATACCAGGGCACAAAAATATTTTTTTCCCGACTATCTTATCATCAAAAATATTAATGAGTTATATATTTTCTGCGAATCAACCCATTTTTCTGAATGAACAATTTCATATTGCTTTTTTTTCTTTTACAGTTTTTGACAATTTATTGACTGACATATTGCTATCGTCACCATGGATTTTTTCACTCAATTACTTCCTGTCTTAATACTGCCGCTCATTCTCTATATCGTTATTACCGCTTTTCTCAAACGCCTTCGCCCGAAACGTTTATATATTTGTCCGCTCGATTCGCTGTCCAGCACATACAGTTCTCTTCTTCCCGTCGATTTCTATACCAAACAACAACAACCAGGAAACAATGATGGTGGATATGTATACCCCAGTGATCCTGATACGGTGCTACAACAGCTACGAATGGTGGTGGGTACGCTTCATTCTCAACAAGCACTAGGATCGCTGGATCCTTATAATCTCATAATCATTCATGAACGTTTGGCCTATACCAACAGCAATGATGTAGTGAATTGGTTTACTGTTCAGTTCAATTTATTTACAGGTTCCGTATCGGCATTGGGCACTGCTACTCATGCGACACTGGTACAAGACGCACGAGAATTGAAGAAATTAGGCTGCTTCGCATTAACAGAAGCAAATGCCGGCGTATTGTCAGGTTTACTCTGTGAGACCATCGCATATTACAATCAAGAAACAAAGAAAATTGTAATTCATACACCAAACGAAGGCGCTAAAAAGTGCTGGATATCATATGCTGGTAATAGTCACATTGAATATGCAGTAGTATTTGCGAAATGGTGTGAAGCTAGTGGCGTTAGCGGCAACAAACAAGTACCCGTTGACACCAGTGTCGGCAAATTGTTTTTGACGCCTCATGTGGTCGCCCTTGTGGTACAAATTCGTAGTAATGGCGTCGTTCTACCTGGTGTAAACATCGAAGAGTGTTACACTCGTTGTGATTTTCGTTCGAACTGTTTCGGTAGTCTTACTTTCACCGAGTTCAGTACTGCACCTGAAAACTTGCTTGATCGATATTGTTCGCTGAATATAACAACCGGAGCTCTCCAAGTAGCTGACAACTGTTCAAAATTGTTCTTCAAATTATCCAATCGGTTATTGGTAGGTCGGCTGTGCTTATCCGGTACCGCGCTTGTCTGTGCCAAAATGGCGCTGCAGCTCGTCATTACAAAAGTCTATAATAGCAAACGATCTCAATTCTCCTATATTACAGACCATCTGCAAATCATGGTGCAACAAGTCTGTGAAATGGACTGCTACTTTCGCCGGTTGATCAAACGTTTTCAAATCGATCCGTCTACTACCACTGCCACCAGTACCGAAGACCTTTTAGAGCAAAATATTGATGAAATTCTCTTGATCAAAGCCTATGTGCCACCGTTGTGTCGATCGATTGTTGCCAAATGTCGTGAACTGTTCGGCGCAGAATCATTGTTGGCACACACACATATGACGGAGATTCATGCTGGCTGCTACGCAAGCTGCCTGGCTGAAGGAGATTCGGTGATAATGGCACAAGCGTTTGTGGGCCAGTGCATGCGCAAGTACAAGCACGTGTCGCTTCGTAACTGGCGTTTGTTGTGGTTCATGCTGAAAATTTTACTGATGATACCCGTCCACAAACGGATAAAATATATCAATGCACATCAAACCGAGGTGATGGCTGTGTTTCAACAGATTGCTGATGGCATCTTCCAAAACCAAGCAATTCGGTCTAACATGCAGAGTATTGCCGTTCCCATAATTAAAACTTGAAGTCCTAACACGTGTGCGTCACTTTACATTAAAAGTCAACCATTAATTTTTTTTTGTTTTTCTGTTGTGTTAAAAGCTTTGTATTTGATCATCTTTTTTTTTCTCTAATGGACTTTTTCAATGTTTATGTTCGATCTTTTGCTTGTAATAATAATATAATTAGAAGAATATTCTGTGATGACATTTAGCTTCAAGACAATTGCAACTACTATCATCACCAAAATAAGAAAACTAGCTAGTGTGAGTGTGATAACTGTGAAATTCAAGCAGCTAGTGACCAACGACTTTCTGCATTCAAGAAAGCAATATGAGAGAAGAAAGCTTTGTAAAAGGTCTCCAGGGATTTTCTAGAGATTATCTGTATTTGCTGAGATGTTATTATTGGTCCTGATAGAGTTATTGATGAGTTTTCTACATCTAATCCTTGACGAGATTTTTATTTCATTCAGGTTGAATTTTGTTTACATGTTTTATTAAAAGTCAGAGGAAAAAATGCAGAATAGTCTTAACTGATTCAGAAAAACGTACACTACCTCGAAGATCGTCCAAAATAAATTGAATGAGTGTAGGTGACAGTATGTGGCTGTAGTTATCTCCACACACACCCACACCTCAGAGTCGGAGCTGATGTTAATTGAGACATTTCGAAAATCCTATTTCATTGTTTTCTTATGCAGCATTCATTTACGACAATTGTGACGTCCAGTAAATGAAAACTATCAATTCAATAATTAAATTTCACAAGTAATAATTGCGATAAAAATTAGATCAGTACCATACAATATCTTTACTTGCGTCATTAGAAATATTTTCATTATCTTAAGATGATCATAAATTACATAATATCGTCATACACATAACCTGTAACTAATTTAAGAAAAAAGAATTCTGGAATCAAAGTAAAAAAGCATGACTTCGTAGATTTCTATCAACGGCTCCAAAAATTGATCATACAAATTTAATTTCCAATTTTTCCGAAAGGTAACTATCATCAAGAATTCAAATAGTGGCTTGAATGAAAAATTATTTCCAATAAAGATCGGAGAAAAAAAACATCTGCATAGTATTCGAAAAATTTCAGGATCCATAGGATACACAAAACTTAATTTATCCATGAACAAAACCTGAAAATAAGGTTTTTGTTGTGACTACATGGATTGATATAATCTATGTGACTTAGTCATATGCCCTGTACAGAGCTCGAACACGTGTCATTGTGTAAAAACTTATTTTGATTCTTAACGTCAGCTACCATTAAAGAAAAGAAACGAAATTAAATCTTTCTGATCAACTTTTGGAGCCATTGCATAGGCTAGTGAAAGATGTTCGGTTTTTCGGAGTCGAAAAAGTTGACTCCACATGGCTCTAATAATGTACTAAATAAATAGCATACATTTCGTTATTACTGATGTTAAACTTTGTTATTGACGCAACATCAATTAAGGTTGTACATAAAAATTAAAATGTGGAAAGCATAAACAGAAAATAGTTTCTTAGCTTTTTAAATATGGCACATGAAGCACGGATATTGTCAACATCAGTTAGAATATTTGATAGGAAACTGATTGTAATTTATATTAAAGTGGATTCATTTTTTTTCCTACCCTCTTTCTAATTTTCTCTTCGAAAATTAATTCAATTCAATTTCTTTCTTGTTTTTTTTACATTGTTTCAATTTGTTGTTCTTTTTTACTTTTTTTATTTTATGCTTTCAATTGTAATGCACTGAGAATTGTCACAATGGCCATATCAGATGTTCAAAACAGATGTTCAAATATATATGGTTTTTCTATTATATCAAAAACTTATTACAGAAAAAAAAGCATAAAGTTCTTCTATAAATTCAAAAAAGAGTTGATTTTCTTGACAGAAAGTTTTAATATCCTTCCAACTGCTTTTCGACTTGCTAAAGACGACAGCCAGACGATAAGTGAGTTGACTAAAGCAAAGACGTGGCGATGGCATATCAAATGGTTGACCGGAGAACTGATTGATCATTAATAATTCTTTATAAAACTGTTGACATTCTTGCAACTCTCTTTCGATGTCCTCGTTTGATAAAAGGGTAACAGCATATTTGTTGATTGACTCACGTAACCGGAAACATTCGTCTCGGGAAAAGTATTTCTTCATTTGTCGTTGTGAATATTGAAGATACGGTTTTTTAGGCAATTCTTCACTTCTTGGTGATCGTTCTAAAACATAAATCGAAACAGATTTTCGTAATCATGAAAATTCTCAATCTATAAAGATTCATGTGTAGACGACATAATGCTGTTCAAAAATTTTACAATAACAAAATCTAACTATTAAACTAAATTATTGAAAATAAAAATTCGCGACAAGTTTTTTTCCTGCTCATTTGAACCCGCAATGCAATTTCATTTAAACAACGACTTAATTTTACGTCTCTTTGCAGAAACGTTGCTTGTGATAATTACCTTGTGTTTCGTCGTATGTATCAAGAAGTGCATGTTTAAGAAATGAAACAATCATTGCCAGAAGTGTCGCTTCTAACACAACTGAATTTGCCTCTGTTGTGTGAAGCCACAGATTCAGAAGAGAAAACCAAAGTTTGTAGTCTCGATGAATACAGTCCCATTTGATAGATTCTTGAGGTATACGAGCGTATAATCAACGCAGCTCAAAACAAAGCCTTTTCTTTTTCTTTCACCGAAATTAACAAATTCAGCAAGTAAAGGTAAGTCATCATATTGAATAAGTTCAAGTGGATTGTATGTTTGTTCATTGAAAATAATAGTATAAGGATAATTTATAGCTTTTGGTTTCGAATAATCCCATTTGAGAAGGATGTGACACATTGGCAAAAGTAACTTAAAATGCACTAAATTGGTTCCTTGCCAAAGGTGTACGACTTTTTTGGTAACGAGCATATCAATAACAGCATGATCAAGTTTACCGATGGTATAGAGTTTACTCAAAAATTCAGGAATTTCATTGTCATTTCGTGTCAATATTGATGTTTTCAGCGAAATATTGATGTAACTTTGTATTAGTTGATTGAATTCTGCTTGATCTTGAGAAACCAAGGTGATCAGTTTCTTATATGCTTCAATATCGCCCACTTGTTGAATGTAACGAAGCAAACTATATTGACAGATGAGTCGTTGACGTTTCTCATCGTCTGAGTCGATATTCTTTAACCAACGATAGAATCGTTTTTTGTCATTTGCAGTTATCGTAGATAACTGTTCCTAGAATTTGCAGTAAAACATCACTAACTTGATATAATTATGAAAATGAAATAGTACTTGTAGAACATCAAGACAAATAAAATCAAAAGCAATAGCTGTTGCCCAAAGTGCCACACTTTGTTGTGTCATACCTGGAAAGACGTCCATCATGCAATAGTATTGTCCTTTGAGTGTTAATAATGTCAAATCAGGAAGTGGAACATATCCTTTTTGAATTTCGTAGAGGTAATAGTCTGAGTCACGAGCAACGATATAAGCATCATGTTTGCGAGCCATTTGAACAATCATAGGATCGGCTTCGCCTGGAGATACGTACACTTCGATTTGTAAGTTATGTAGAATAAGCAAGAGTTCGTCACGGAGAAGAGATGGTAGACTACAATCATCATCATCGAATTTCACACTACTAGCTCGTTCAGGATCAGATCGTCGACGTTCATTTGGTTTTGAAACACCATCAAATACGACAACTACATTTGCACATTGTTCTTTGAATTGTCTCAAACTATTTCTTAATTTCTCCCAAAGGCCATCGTATCCAAATTGTGTAGCAGTCACTCGTTAGGCCATCGATTTCGATTGATCTTCATTCCGTGTCTGATCATAGATAAAATAGAAGAACGAATAGCCATCGATGATAACATTTTGATTGGCTAGATTAACTGCTTTGGATGGATTTTTCGTCGCAAAAAGAAAGTCGTCAATGAAAGTAGAGAAGAACGGAATACCCATCTCGATGTGAATTTGTAACAGTACTCGTAAAATGTTCAGCCTTTTTATGATGACTATTGTAGTACTAATATCGGAAAAAAGTAGGTGGGAATTTTCATAGTTTCATTGGTGTTGCGACATCATTGCCTGCAGCAACTATTTTTGTTGAGTTAACATAACGCACAAAATTTACACTTCTTTCGTTGGTTTTTTGTTGTTGTACACTCTTGATGACGTTTGAATGATTTTTTTTTGTCGTAGACTTATATCAACTTTACACACTTATTATTCTTTTTACTGAAAGAAAAAGTTATGTTGCAGAAAACCATTGAATTGCATTCATATGTTTGTCAAAACTACTCAGTATTGATTACTATTCGGTTTTGCGTACTGAATAAGCGAACATAGTTTCTTTTTTTTTTAAACAATGATTATCGTAAAGTGAGGATTGAAATTTAAGATCGATTTTGTTTAATATTTTATTTTTAAAATGTTGTTTTTCATATTTTAATTAATAGTTTTTGAAATTTTCGTGAAAACTTAATCACAGCAAAATCTCACATGTGGGTTTCGAACAAAAATATTTCTTTCAAATTTCAGTTAAAGTAATCGAAGCTAGACAATTCGAACTTAAATCTACTACTGCTTTCTATTAGCACTGAAATCAGTGTAATTAATAGCAATGATTACAAATCTCATCATCGCTTTGAAAAGACACACGATCGGATATGTTTGAACTTCTGTTTCATAGTAATAATTCAGTAGTCATTTTCGGAAAAACAAAAGGCACAGTCTTTATGAAAACATATTTCAACATCATCCAAAATAAATGATCCACTGTTAACAATACTTCCATTATATTAATTTGAATCATTTGGACATTTATCAGTTCCTTCCCTAAAAATAGTTTCTCCACTAACAAATAGAAGTGTTGATGCATTAAAATAAATAAAAACTTGATGAATAGTATTCAATGCAGCTCGTACACCAATAATTGAAACGTATAACTCTTACGACAAATAAGCAAACTTTAACCATTTGAATCAATTGCTCGATGTAAGTGTCAATCTTCAAAACACTCACACTCATTTACATTCATCTATGCATTCGAGAGACAATGATACGATCAACTTTTGTTTGACAAAGACAAAGTCACATAGCTGTAAATGAGCGGTCATTGAGTCAACGTTAGGATTTTGTCAAAATAAATACCATTTATGTTTCAAAAAGTGTTTAAACAAGCAATACTTTTCGAATGGGGGAGAATGGCTCTATTATGCGATCAACGCTCTTCTTGATACTCATCAAGCAATCAAATTTAGACACTGGTGAACTTATGCATTCAACTCTTTCTTGAACGATAAAAAGTTGCACATCATACTTGTGTTCTTTCTTATTTGGGTACAATTGTTTACGATAAATATATGCTTATGCTACTTGGATAATTTTACTAAACGTACTGAAGATGGGTATTATTGTGATAAGTACTTGTACACATATCAATTTCTTCACGGTCAATATCGAACTACCTGAATTACAGAATATCCCTGTGATCAATAGGCAATTTCTATGCCAACTACAACTGAATTTCTGTCTTTGGCCTTTAATTTAAAAAAAGTATTTTATAATAGTAGAACATTCATTTTATGAGGAGAGAGAGACAGAGAATATTACAACCTTGGTTGAGTAGGAGTTGATATNTATGGGATGTATCGTGGGTAAGTCATCCAAAAACCTAGAGTAAAGTACATATACAGAACATAGAAGTGAATATTTGTAGTTAGTGAGAATGATATGTCTTTTCGATGGTTGTACCATGCATGTACAAAAAAAAATTGATGCCTCTAATCCATTCTAAGCTTGTATCTTATAATCGGATTGTTAATTGATTTAACAAAAAAGATTCATATTTCCCACAGTAAGCATCGATTTATCGTCAAAATTTTTTGATTTTAGATAACACTGAATACCTATCCTAAGGTAAGAACTAAGACTCGATCGATACTTATGCAATGAAAATATCAAAATTATTATCACAGTTAAGAGCTTAATAATTGAAAATAGTGATATATGCATATCTCTACTGAGAATACGTCGAAAATCAAATCATTCAAGGATATTTAAGAACTTGTAAGGTTTGACGATTGAACAGATGGCAATGCACGTTCATAAGAGCTCCAGTTGGTTTTATCTAGTAGAGTGAGTTTACAGTGAAAAGAGATGATATTTGACATAACTAAACTTTGAAACATGAGCTATGTTTTGCCAATATTCACAGCTCAATACATTGAGTTTCTTTGAAGATATTAGGAAAACAAAGCCATCTTTTAGTTGTACGATGAATTTTCAGCGCTACTGTACATGTGACATTTATACATAGTCTGGTTTCTCTATTACATTTAAGAATTCGAAACAAAAAATAAATTTCATTAAAAGATTCATTTGAAAACATCTTTCTTAATGAGTTCAGTGGAACACTTCGTTTGCTTCCACTGAGTTCAAAAATAAAGACAAAATGTTTTTGCAATGTCAGTTTATTTCCGATATTCAATCGTGTCACCACCGCTTTATGTATGTAAATATAAAACAGTTACGAAGAATCTAATCTACTATATAAATAGGCGTGTGAAATAGAATTAATTTCGCCTCTTTTATTTCAACAGTGATAATACATGACAAATATCGTTTGTCTTCTTTCACTTATTTGCATAGATGAATTATTCATATTGCCAAGAAGAATATAATTATTTCTGTCAGGCTTCAACCAACAAAAATAATCAAACAGAAGAGATAAAAAATGTGGGTCATTAACTTTTGATGACTCAATGAATAATCGTATAGAATGAAATAAATGCGTAAAATAACTTTGAAACACTATCTCTTCGTAGAATACATATTTCAAAGTCTCTCTTACGGATTTCATAGAGCAAGAGTGTGTGTCTTGATTAAGATGAATCATGTGTTAATTATCTAGAACAAAATGTCATATTGTTTGCAGTGTGTCAGAGTATAACAAGATGCAAAGATTTTTTTACTCGTTTTTGACAATGTTGAGTGATTTTCTTGGTTAAAAAAAAGGTCCTATTGGAGTTTGTCGCATTTATTCAAAATACACTTTTACAAAATCATTAAACAGAATATGTTAGATATTTTACTAACATTTGAATCATTTCTTGGTCTCTGCTGATGTTGCTGACAGCAAAATATTCCAAGAGATCGTCTAAAATTTTTGTTAAACCAACTATATACAAACGGGTTATAACAGCAACTGTTGATAGCAATCCAATAGAAAATGGAA